TGTGTTATTTATATTTCTTTTGTGGTTAGTGCTTTTTATGTCTTAAGGACATAAAAGTATTTTGTGTTTTCCTCTAAGAGTTAAGATTTTGCTTTCCTATTGAGGATGGTATAAGATAGTGCTTGAGGTTTACTATTTTCCATATTTTTGAAAAGCTGTTGAAAAAATGTTGAAAATAGATTGACTTGGCGCCTTGGTAGAAAATGAGTTGACTGTATATGTATGGGTCTATTTCTGGACGCTCTTCTATTTCACTATCTTTATTTTTCTTATGCCCACTCTATACTCTTGATTACTAAGGCTTTTTCAGTGAGTCTTGAAATAAGGTGGTATAAGTCCTCAAAAATCCTTTTTCTTTTTTCAAGCTTGGTTTTATTATTCTAGATCTCTTTTGTTCCATAGGAATTTTAGCATCAGCATATCAGTTTCTTTTTAAAAAATCCTGCTGGGATTTCAACAGGGATTGCATTTATATATCAAACTGGGAAGAATGGACATTTAAATAATATTGAGTCTTCCAGTCTATGAACATGGTCTCTCTTCATTTCAGTCTTCTTTCATTTACCTTAGCAATATTTTGCAGTTCTTAGTATAGAGGTCTTGAGTATCTTTCTTTAGATTGACCTATAGGTTTTTTGTTGTTGTTGTTGCAGTTATAACTGGTATTTCTTTAAATTTCATTTTCCATTTGTTCTTTGCTTGTATGTAGAGATACACTTAATTTTGTATGTTGACCTTCTATCATGAAACCTTGCTAAATTCACTTCCTAATTTTACTAGTGTTTTTGTAGGTTCTGTGCAGTTTCCAATGAAGACAGTCATATCACCAGAGAATATACTTACTTCTTTCCAATCTTTATGCCTTTTATTTCTTTCTTGCCTTATTGTGCTGGCTGGAACATTCAGTGCATTATTGAATAGAAGTAGTGACAGTGGACATCCTTGTCGTATCCTCAGTTATAAGGGAAAGGGACTCAATGTTTCATCATTAGATATGTTGCTAGCTTTAGGTTTTTCATAGATGTCGTTTTCCAGAATGAAGAACTTCTTCCCCTTTTCTATTTCTAGTTCTCTGAGGGTTTTTAATCATGGATAGATATTAAATTAACATTGTCAAATGCCTTTTTTTTTTCCCCCTGCATCAGTTAAGAGAATCATAAGGATTTTTCTCCTGTATACTGTAAATGAGGTGCTTGATTTTTTTTTTTTTTTTAACTGTTAAACCAGTTTTGCTCCTTGGGATAAACCCCACTTGGTGATGATGATTACTTTTTCTATATATGTTACTGGGTGTGATTTGCTAATATTTTGTTAAGGATTTTTCCTTCTAGTAGTAGCAGACCTTTGCTTTTTGTATTAGTGCAGGATCTTGGGCCAAAGACAGTTTCTTGCTCCTGGCCCATTGTCATATCGATAGCTTTGCTTTCTATTCATTCCTTAGCATCAGGGTATGTTTGTCTGCCACTGGTGGTGGCAGTGTTTCCTGTCTTCCTCTAGGGGTAGACTGTGGTTATGTTACATGGTGAAAGGCTTGTTTGTATGTGGGAGGTGGGCAAATAGGCTCTGCTCCCCCCACCCTCTCAAATAGTACACAGCTTTTGCTTTACTCTTCCCTTTCAGGCAGGGAAACTTTCCTTGGGCCCTGGGTGTGGGAGGCTTTCCTGCATCTCCCCTCCTGGTTGAAGGCTTTTGCTTCATGTTAGGTGCCACTTAAAGGGGAGGAGCTCTCTCCCTTCTCTTGCCCCATGCCATTCTTTTTCAAGAGAACTCAGTTGAGAGCCTTTGAAAAGAGCTTGTGAATGAGTGCAGATTCCCCTTTCGTCTGGGTTTTCACTGCCATCCTAAGTGACACTCAGCCATTATATTTTTATCTTTAATATTCAGCAGATTGACTACTGTATGTTTCCTTTCCATCTGTGGGTTGATATCTGCCATCATTTTTGAAATGCTTTTGGCCATTATCTCTTCTTAAGCTTTTTCTGCCCCATTCTCTCTTTTCATCTCCTTCTGGGACCCCAGTTACACTCCACTTAAACCCCAATTGACATTTGGTCTTGGATGTTCTGGGATTTTTTTCCACACTTTTTTTTTTTCTCTTCATGTTTCAATCTGGGCATTTTAATTTGGCCTGTCTTCAAATTCACAGCTTATTTCTGTCTGTTTTTAAATCCATCTAAAGAAATCTTTAATTTCTGATACTGTATTTTTCATTTTTAATGTTTCCCTGTGATCTTTTTTTTAATAGCTTCAATGTCTGTGATTAAATTCTCCATTTCATTATTCATGTTGTCTATCTCTTCCATCAGTTTTCATCATAGTTATTTTAAAGTATGTCTGATAATCCCCAAATCTAGGCCCTCTCTGATCTGATTATATTAATACTTCATCTTTTGACTTTGGTTTGCTACTCTTCTCTGTCTTGTAATTTTTGATTGAATGCTGAATGTTTGTGTAAAATCAGTACAGGTTGAAGTATATATTATCTACTTCCCCGAAATGGCCCATCATTTCTTGTGGGGCTAAGTCAACAAGATGTGTGCATAGTCAGCTAGTTCTGGGCTTATTTGCAACTTTATTTTGATTAGTTCAAGTGTCTTGAGAGTGGGATTAAGACTTTACTTTCTGTAAGATTTGTTGTCTTAGTGTAATTTCAGTTATCGCTTTATGCTTTGTATCTGAGCCATCAGCTTTCTGAACTGTGGTGACTTCTCTGCTTTACAGCCTAGCTACTGGTTTCCTGGTCATTCTGGAGTTCTTTTTGCTCTCTAGTCTTACCCCAGGCTTTTGTGCCTAGTGAGATCTCTCGGTACGAGTAATACCTTCCGGTGCTTTCTCTCAGCAGTCCTTTCCTACCCCCGCCTTGGTAGTTCAATTTCCAGAGTATCTGCATGGAAGTTTCTGTCTCAGCTGTCTTGTCCCACCTCAGCCCTTGGCAGCTGAATGTCTGGAGTCTCTTGGATTGATTTCTCTCACATCTCACCACCACCCCTCCCCCTACCCCCTCCCCAGGGCATTTGAGGAAGATCCTAAGCTTCTTAGCGTATCTTTTAGCTTTCCTGCCCTGTCTTCCAACCTTTGCCATATTTTGGCCAACTCTTGGTGCAGACCTGTGGGATTGAGCGGTTGAGTGGTGCAGACTTGCTCTGTGGAATCCTTGGAATTCTAATGTCTTGTCAGCCTACATGTTACTGTTAAAATGTACTAAAATTTAGGCTGATTTCTCCTTACCTTCACTGTGGTGGGATTATTCCTCCTTAGCCACTCTACCAGGAAAGAGACCATCTGTGGGCCCCTCTTCTATCAAGACTCAACACTTTCTGGAATTTAGTTTCACTTAGGTTTCTTTGCATCTTAAACTTTCTGATGGGTTCAGAAAAACCATGATTTTATAGCTTTTCTGTCTTGTTTTGATTGTTAGGGTGAAAGTGATGGTCTATTGTGACTCTGTATCTCCTGATTAGAAGTGGAACTCCTTCATGGAATACTTTCTGATATATAATCTGGCAAATACCTGATAAAGTTTGTTATTTCACTTCACCCTAGTTGATTTTACACCGTATTTCTCAGAGCTAGGTTTCAAAATGTTTTCCATTCTTCTCAAATCTGAACTCTCCAGTTCTGTCCTCAAGTGGTAAATTATCTTATCTCTTACTTTGAGATTAAAGCCATTGACATTAAATTTTAATTGGGCTGGTGGAAAGTGTGGGAAGAATTTGTAGTAGGTGCTTAGAAAACTAGGCAAATGAAAAACTAACATAATTAGCTCTGGGGAAAGGAAAGAGTTGTACAAAAAAGGAAACATGATTATACAGTAGTAGTTAACTACTAATCTCATCAGGTACAAAACTACCTGGGAGATAATTATTTTTAAGCTTGGAGGAAAGCAAGTGGTCGTGGTGTAAATCCTCATTTTCTGTTGAAAAATCGCTAGATATATCTAAACTTGCTATTTCAAGGGATACCATTACTGAGGTATAAATAGCAAGAATAAAAGTTAAAAGGTTCTCTTGGTGTGAGAAGAGGAGCTATATTTGACTTTACTCACTATGCATGTTGTTACTTAGATATAAATGAAAATATTTTTTAAAAGAGGCTTAATTAAAAATCTTCTCAAGGGGTGGTAAAAGTGAACCAAATCTTTTTATCACAGACTCTCTTTACCTTTATTTCTTTATTTTTATATTTTTTAACTCTTTGTTTTTTTCTTTGGCTGCTTTGGGTCTTCGTTGCTGCGCACGGGCTTTCTGTAGTGGTGGTGAGCGGGGGCTACTCTTCGTTGCGGTGTACAGGCTTCTCAGTACGGTGGCTTCTCTTGTTGCGGAGCACGGGCTCTAGGTGCACAAGCTTCAGTAGTTGTGGCGCATGGGTTTAGTTGCTCCACGGCATGTGGGATCTTCCCAGACCAGGGCTCGAACCCGTGTCCCCTGCATTTGCAGGCGGATTCTTAACCACTGCGCCACTGGGGAAGTCCCTATGTCTTTATTCTTCTTGTTTACTTCACACTTCATGCCTTTTCCCTTGTTATAACTTTACATTTTACTTTATGATACTTGGTTATGAAACTTTAAAACTTTGGGGATATTGAGCTTGTAAATTTTTAAAAATATTTTTGTTACGTGTTTTGAGAATAGATTGAAATTCTAAAAAGTGAGGAAAACTTTCTTTTGGTGAAGATATTTTATTGATACTAAGTTAAAAATAAAGTAGTATGGGTAGTGATAAACTTGTCCAGTGTTGATAAAGATAAAAGATTTTACTTGCAAAATTATTATATTTGTCCACTTATAACACTGTCTTGTTTTTAGAAGGATTTGTTTCCACAATTCATTTAAATTATTAAAGTCATTTTCAGGGGTGAAAAAGATAACTTCTGAATGTCTGTTGTGAAAGAAATAATTTGAATTTCTATTGTATTCTGTAATTTGCTTTTGATACTATGTTGAAACTAGTAGTTGATTGTAAAGTTAGCTTCTAAATTATCCTTTCCATATCTTTTCTAGGTTAGATTAAGGAGGATATTTTCTTAGAGTGGATCGCTGCCTTTGGTAAGAACATGTCGTCCATCTTGCCATTCACTCCACCAGTTGTGAAGAGACTGCTGGGATGGAAGAAATCAGCGGGTGGATCTGGAGGAGCAGGTGGTGGAGAGCAGAATGGACAGGAAGAAAAGTGGTGTGAGAAAGCAGTTAAAAGTTTGGTGAAGAAGCTAAAGAAAACAGGACGATTAGATGAGCTTGAGAAAGCCATCACCACTCAAAATTGTAATACTAAATGTGTTACCATACCAAGGTAAGTGTTGTTAGATCAGAAATTTGATGGCCATACTGTTGAAAATTGCTTAAAGGAATCTGAAGGGAAGTTATTGAAATTTTGTTACTTTCAAGTGACCTGTCAATAGTGATTATTAAAATATGACAGCTATTTTTAACCTGTCGTATTAATTTTGTTTAACTCGTTAAGACTTGTTTATTTTACAAAGCATTTTCTCGAACAGTGAGAAGGTTTAATCAAGCAAAATAAAATACTTAGATTGTATTTTTATCTTCACTGTCTTCATTTACCTTCATTGCCTAAATGCTTCATTGTATGTTATCCTAATTTCTGTGATTGAATGACATTTGAATAAAGATTCAAAGATTTTTCTATCACCAGTGCAGTAGTGACTGACAGTTTTCGCCTCCCTTGGTCAAAACTTCAGTAAGGAGTGAACAGAGGCTGCTAACATTGTGATGAATTTTGTATTGTTTTTGCTTGAGTTGCAGCACTACTTCTAACAAAGAACAGTATGTGAGACAGCTTCCTAGGTGTCATAGGTGGTCAGAACCTGTCTTGAAGACCTACCTCTTGTATGAGAAGGACCTGTTACTTAAGAGGTTGAAGTTTTATTAGTGTAAATTTAATCATTTACAGATCAGTACCACTGTCAGAAATACTGTTCTTTAACATAAAGTAGCAAGTGGTTTTTAAGTGTTTTAATGTGTACTACTATAGTTGTGCATATTACAGGGTTTGCGGGAGTGTCAGTTTATAGCATTTTCTAAAAATGATTGTTTTCAGTGTCATACACATAGGCTAGCATATGGCACGTAAAACCATTCTACTTGACACGTTTCTAATGAGTTTTGGGAAATACACTCTGGATGCTTGTTGATAATAGATCCTAATAACACCAGCCTGTCTGCTTGCAAATACTAGGAGTAGAATGTTTCCTCCCTTGTTTGGTAGGTTAATTATCCATTTCTTTTACCTCACTCGTTTCATGTATTTCTTAAATAAGAGTCACTTTTCCTGGTATATTCTTTCGTTTTAGAAATGTTTATGAATGCCTGCTGTGTACAAGGCACTGGTTTTAGGCACATGGGATAGATACAGTATGAACAAAACTCAAAGTTCCTGCCCTCCTCAGGGATAGATGTACACAGTAAACAAGTGGACAGATTAATCTAATTGGAGATGGTAATGAGTACAAAGAAAACAACGACTGAGGGGTAAAACTGCTTTGGATTGGATTGTGACACTTAATCTGAGCTTTGAGAAGTAGCAGCTAGCTGAGGGAGGTCTTCTAGGCAGAGGAAGGAGTGAGTGTAAAGATGCCAAGTCAGGATATAGCTTATTGTATTGGAGGACTTACTGTATCGCAGTAGAGATGGCGTGATACAAAATGAGTACAAAACTTGGAAAGGGTCAGATCATAGAGGGCATCGTAGGGCAGTTTGAATTTTAGTGTCAATGTAATAGAAAGCAAATAAAGATTTTTAAGTGGATTTTCAGATTTTAATCCTTTTTTCTTTTCCTCGGTATGTGGGCCTCTTACTCTTGTGGCCTGTCCCATTGCGGAGCACAGGCTCTGGACTTGCAGGCTCAGTGGCCATGGCTCACGGGCCCAGCCGCTCTGCGGCATGTGGGATCTTCCCGGATCGGGGCACGAACCCGTGTCCCCTGCATCGGCAGGCGGACTCTCAACCACTGCGCCACCAGGGAAACCCTTAATCCGTTTTTAAAGAATTTTTTACATTTATATTTTTACAAAGATCATTCTGGCTGCCGGACACACGTGGTTGGAGCTGGGGGTGGGTAGTGGTGTAGTGGTGTGTGTGTGCATGTGTGTGTGTAGTAGACTGGTGTGGTATAGTGGTCTGCAAGCGGGGAAATGAGGAGGCTATTGAAGCAGTCCAAAACAGAGATGCCAGAGGTTGGGCTGGCATGGAGGCTGTGCTGCCACCAGAAGTGGATGGATTTGGTTGGAAGTTGAACTGACAGGACTTGCTAATGAATTGGTTAATAAGTCAGGTTTTTTGTGTTCACTTTTTATTGTATAGTGCCTGGTGTTTCAGTTTAGTAAACATTTATAAACATACAGTCTTTGCTCTTGAGTTGCTTACTTCCTAGTAAGGGAGGTAAACTTTAAAAAATAAGAAAGATAATTTCATAATGTGCAGGAGGTGTTCTGAAAGATGGATGCTTAGGGAGCTGTTTGCAAAGTGGGGACCCTTCCCTGCTCTGCGGCTTGTGGAAGGTTTCCTCCGGGAGAAAGATTGGTGCCTGAGTTGGGTGGAGGTAAAGGAGGAGTTTAGTCAGGATAAGCTCCATTCATCCAGAGTGGCCCTGGGGTGTTGAGAGGACTGGTGATGGGGGTCCTGGGAGTGCCAGGTGGGAGGTGGGATATGGCAGGACTCAGAGGCTGTGTGGTAGGGAGGAAGCACCACATCCTGCGCGCTGGGGGGTTCACACTGAACATGAGTGTGATTGAGTGATGGGGGAGTTGTCAAAGAGTCTTAGGTAAAGAAGTGAGGAAAATGGTTGTGAGACTGTCAGGAGTGGAGGCAGGGAGACTGTTAGTATGTTGTCTAACTCATCCAAGGGAGCTGTGTGATCCAGGAAGACGGGGGGCCATGCTTTTGCACAGCTTCATCTAGGGCTTCGGTGCCAGTGCGGTGAGGTTGTTGGCAGAACAGAACTGAGAGGAGAGTCATGCAGTCCTGTCTCTTAAGGAGATACAGTAGGAAGCAGCCTCATGATGGAAATGTATAGGCCTTCTGTTTAAACTGTAGAAGTCCCTTTAGTCGAATTTCTTTTCCTTATTTTCCAGTGTTCATTTTACAGTCTAGTTTTTAGAGATTTTTTTTTCATATCCTAGGGCTTTTTCATCATTTAAAGATTTTTTTCCCCGCACTTTTACCTGAGTAATGAAAGTGAAGTGGTGCTTGTCCAGTATCTTGTTTTTCACTCTTTAAAAGTTCCTTGAAGCTTAGAAACTTGCTTGTCTAATTTGGTGGTCTTTTTTTTTTTTTAATATTTCAAGAAATGTAGATTTGTTAATATTGGCTGTTTATCAAAAACCTTAAGTTTCTTGCACTATATTCTGGAGCCATATATTTTATAAAGTTTGTTTTTAATAATAGAACAGTTATATTGTGTCAGATTATTAGTCACCTCTTAACTACTAAATGTATTTAAACATTCAGTCAACTCTTAATTATATAGACTGTAAAAGGTGGGGAATGGGTGTGGAAAGGGTCCATTATAGAGGAATCCAAACCCTAGCTTAAGCAAAATTATTTAAAATGTAATTCATGGTGGATTTACTGTAAGCTTATTAACTTAAAATTGCAAATAAGTTGTCAATAAAATACCTTAACGTATTGATGTACTCATCACGTATTAATGAACATGAAACATAAATTACTTAATTTTTTAAAATGACAAATGTTTTCTGTTTAAAAATCCCTGCTTCATTGACTCTTCTTAACAGTTTCCTTTCCTCCAACCCCCATCTTCTAATGTTAGAGTGGGACTAAATTGCGGCTAGAAACATAGTCCTGACTTTATATCCCTCCCATCCCCCTCACATAATTAACTCTGCCTTCATTGCTTTGTCTCTGAAGGGATAGAAGCTACTACCCATATGTGTCACTGCTTCCTTCCTACTGTTTTATGTGGTGACACAAAGTGATTCATGGGTAGATCTTAACCTATTAAGCTACAATGAGCTGAATAGTATAAAGTTTCATGAAGCTTTTCCATCTCAATTTTTTGAGACTAACAAATGGAGGACAACTCAGTCATAAAATCAGAATGGCAATTGATGTTTAGGTAATGAATCAGTCAGAAGAAAAAAAAGTGACTTTCAGTGCATTTAATCTACAGTAAAGCAAAATCCAAACAGCAGTGGGGATGGAGAGCTTGTAAAGTTTAAAACAAGTGGCTGTGAGGTCTGAAATGCCAATTTGATAATATCCATTGTACATAAATGAAGAATTTATTTTCATAAACATAAATTATAAGGGCTTTCCTAAGGTGGTACTTTGACCACATAATTACATTTTGATCTTTCATCTTAAGGAAATAATCAGGAGTATGGTCCAAGATTTCTGGTGTTCATTTCAGCATTGTTTATAATAGCAAAGAATTAGAGAAACCCAATCCTAACCCACAGTTTCCTTAACTGTAATAATAAAGGAAACTTAACCCAACTCATTTTATACCAGAATTGAAAATGAATAGTAAAAGTAAAGTTTATATCAATCTTACTCATAAAAACAAATGCAAAAATTATAAATGAAAAAGCTTGAATTATAAAAATAAAACCACAAAATCATGACTAGGTAAGGTTTATTGCAGGAATGCTAGTATGATTCACCTACAGGAAATCCATTAATGTAAGATACTCTATTCATATTTATGAACACTCTGATCTTGGTGGATCTAGAAAGAGCTTTCTATAAAATTCAGTATTCATGTTAACAAATTAGGAATAGGAATTTTCTTAACTTGATAAAGCAATACTTCCAAAAATGTTAACACTTAATCTTGAAACTTTAGAGAGAAATACATCAAATTGTTAATAGTGATTATTTATGGATTACCTAAAAAAAGAAATGTCCTGTAATTTTTCCGTAATATTTATCTATGAAAGTATGTTTTACTTTTGCAGTCAGCATAATCAAATTTTTTTTTATGGTTTGTTTTACTTTATTTTTTTTTAATAATTTTTTAAAATTTATTTTTATTTATTTTTTGACTGTGTTGGGTCTTTGTTGCCGTGCGCGGGCTTTCTCAAGTTGTGGCGAGCCGGGGCTGCTCTTCGGCGCGGTGTGTGGGCTTCTCATTGCGGTGGCTTCTCTTGTTGCGGAGCACGGGCTCTAGGCATGCGGGCTTCAGTTGTTGTGGTTCACGGGCTTAGTTGCTCTGTGGCATGTGGGATCTTCCCGGACCAGGGCTTGAACCTGTGTCCCTAGCATTGGCAGGCAGATTCTTAACCACTGCACCAGCAGGGAAGCCCAATTAAA